CTTTCACACATTGACATGACACATCATCCAAATTTCATGCCGTAACAACTGCTACGAAATTTCTAAAAAATAACACGAGCGATTACTAAAAAGTTAAATCACTTATACGAAGAGAACACTTAACAAGGGATGGTACATAAGGACACCTGTTTCGCAAGGGGATGCGACTACAAATCATAGCGAGATAATCCCTTAAACGCCACTAGACACTTTTAACAATGCCGAGATGTCACATGGACAATTAGTAACAACCCCTAACTATGCATATACGCAACATACGCGACTCGTCATTAATTACCTACCGTCTCGAGCTCCTTTATTCAACAAACTTGCCAATAAACTAATATCGCGAAAACTATTTTTAGATTTCAGAAATCAATCGAAATTGATTATCTACTTCCGTTGCAGTATCTATTCAATTTCGTGCAAAGCTCCGATATATCTATAAGGGCAAAACTTTTTTTTATATAAAAAGGCAAACGGGCATGCATGCAATAAAACTGCAATTTCCTCTTAATTTCGTTTTCGGCTATCGCTAACTAAATCGTTAAACCCTTAATGCACGTAATGACACCCTTACACAATTGAATTTGCTACGCATTATTTTCATCCCCTATAAACACCCTTAAAAAAGTAGGTACGTGTAATCTCTTGTTTGTTATGTAGGAGTAAAACGGGCGGGTGACTTGGTGAAGGGTGTGCAATGTAAAATATGAGCGACATGACAGATTTGCAATATGTGTTTACGTTTTTTAATCTCGATATTTATTATTATTATTGTTTTACTAGTGCTTAGATTTCGTTTGTAACAAAGGACATTTTTAATGATGTGTGCACAGGTCTAGGCGGCAAATTTGCATTTAAAGGTGCCTACAAAGGCCTCAGCGTTTGCGCTTTTTTGCGAAACGGTTTACGTTGATAACAGAAAATTATCCCAAAAATGCATGAATTGGAAGCGTAGCATATTTGAGAATTTACAGACTTTTCTGGGGACTTAACAAATCTCGCCAAGAAATTTAAAAATCTATACCAGGAAATGTATACTTCTTTGTGGGAATTTGCAAACCTTTTTGAGAACTTACACATTTTTCTAGAAATTTACAGGTCATTGTATGAATTTGCAGATTTTTTCCATTTTTCCATAAATTATTTTGAAGTTCAATGTTGAGATAAACTAAGGTACATTCCGGCGACGTATAATAATCTCGACTCATTGTACATGAAGATTTTGTCTGGAACACTGAATATATCTTCAAAATGTTTGTAAAAAAGCTTTTTATGGTATCCTCAATGATAAAATATCTATCGAACAAATTTCCTAGAAAATCAAAAATTTGTCTGATATAGGTATTCTCTCACGATTAGGGCGTTGTGCGCAGATGCACCATCATGTTGAAACCAACAGTTTCCAACTTTTGTTTGTTTGGGTGTGCCGTACATACATCGTTGTATTCATAATAATATATAAAATGCTACTCAACCCAGTAGGTATGTACTTTTTTTACGAACTCATATAAAAAACTAAAGTTGATGATTTCTCCGAAACGAAATGTTGTATTGAAAATCTCTCAACGGTGTATTGTAGAGCTCAAAAAGTGGCAATAATATTACATTATAGTAGGTAATATTTTTTGTGTCTGTTCAAATAACAGAAAAAAATAAAAAGGAAATCGGCAAATTTCGGATTTTCTGGCGGAAATGATGGGAATTTTCAGATTTTCTTGAAAGCATTATAACAAATCTTTAATTGCGCATCTTTTTTTTTAATTTGACCATCGTCGTATCTTCTATGGTTTCCGAGATCCTCATAATAGACGTCCTTATTTTGGACACAGTTCAATAATAATGGCGATATCCTTTGCTCGTTCAAAATCGAAATTCTGATTGGTCCAACAAGCTGACCCAAATGAATGAGACAAGCAGTCGATATAAACAAGGTCTCGTATAATGAATGACTCCTTTGATTTACAGAAATTAATTACGATCACTTAAAAATTAGGTGATTAGACCGTAAATGTCAATATCATCATAGAAATATTATTGACGCACAATCTACCGTTTCAGACGGGCGAAGAATGCCACATAAAATTTTTGATAAGCCCATACGCCTCAAAATATTACGATGAATTGCAATAATTCCGCGCATTTAATTTTGCGCGGTTGTCCGTATTCGCAACAATATCCGCGATTTCGCAATTAAACTTTATTTACGATCACACAATCCACTATCGTTCTTATTTAACGCAATAGTTTCTAAACGATCAATTATCCCTTGTAAATGAGGGTCGCCAAAAAACTTTAAATCGCAATTTTACGCGTTTAAATTACATGCTCTTAAACTTCGCTACAATACACGCACGAAGTTTCTCCGCAAATAATACACGATCTCACCAATATATAAATTTACCCTTCGCTAAATTACAGGTGGTTAACTTAACCCTGTCTCACTAGGTTTACACAACCAATCAGATCGCTCCGTAAATCACCTCAACGTAGTTGTTTCTCACTGATGTAAATTCCACACGACGCAGCAATTACTGCCAAATAAAGAAAATCATCCTGTAATCCGAACCAGAAACGCAATGTCCCACGACTCACCGGCGCGTTAAATTTTCAAACGCGTTTAAGTAGTCAGGACCATATTTCAGGACACCTCCCCCACGGAACACATCCAAAAAATTTAGGAAATCCTATCTAGAACAATAACGAGAAATAAATCATAATCGGTAAAAATAGTCAAGACATTGTCATTCTACCCTTCACTCTCTAGTTTAGTCGCCTATATATAGGAGAATAGGATCCACAGTGCCCTTTGCGGTAGGTGATATCAGTCGCTTTCAGATTGAGGCAAGAACAACGCGATTAATTTTACATTACATATCTAAAGCTGAAACCCCCAAAGATCTACTTCTACGATATTCCGTTACAAAGATCTCGATCGATTTATAAAAAGCGCCAGAGCGAACGAATGATCGTCCGATCGACAATTAGTGAAACTATAATCTCCCTTTTGAAGATAAAAAAATCTGGTGGAAAAATCGTTATGTTTTTACAATTTTAAACCAATATCACCACATTTTGTCATCATTTTGAGTTCATTTGCAACTATTTTTATACAACAATTTTATTTAGAATGAAATTAAAAATTATAATTTCACTAGAGTACTATAAAAGCAAAAGAGCAGATTTATTCCCACCTACAGCACATCTGTATGTGATCTATGTGATGTAGCACATTAATACCTTTCAGACTAAGTAATGCAGGAATAACTTGATAGTACGAATCTTTTGCTGAAAACTCTAAGGTTCTACAATGTTCCGTTGCAGAGATACAGGTCTATATACAAAGTGAGTTTTTTCCGATGTAGTATATGGGGATCTCGTAAACTTAAATGAGCAAGCAATTGTAGAATTTTATGTAGATTAAGATTTCCTTTCAAAGTTTCTTCTAACTGTACAAGTAACGAAGTTATGGTCAAAAAACCGAAAAAGTTCATTTCCGAAAATGCGCTATAGCGTTAATTTATTTTCAAAGATATCAAAAAATAATGTTCAGAAACCCGTAGTAATTTTTTCTCAGCTTTCTGCTAGTGCTAAAGGAAAATTTTTATCACTTGTGAGTTTCGAGTAAATCACAACTTTTTTATTTCTTATGGACGCCATATTGGATTTTTATCTTACTTTAAAAAAAACGGCTTAGCCACAAGCGTATACGGGGTTGAGTATTACAAAATATACAGGGTGGTCTTATTAGAGCACAGGTTTCTTCAAAATATTGTTATACAAAATTTTGGGCTAATGGTTCCTGGAGACGGGACTGACTAGTATTTGCGTGTGAAAGCTTGGAGGAGACAGGAAGTCGCGACTAAGGCGGAATTAAGTACGATGACTCATGATGTTAATTGGTAATTCATATTTTCTGATGACCCAAACTTCCCACGCAACAACATTAAGTTAAAAGTTGTTCTTCACTTTCTTAAGGCTGGACAGTACACCTCTTCCGTTGCCCGAAAACGCTTGATTTCTTTCCACGATTTCTGAGTGAAGATGAAGAAGGGGTCGAATATTCCTGTCAAAGGTGAATGCTTTAGCTAGACAATAACGCCGGGGTTTACTAAAATGTTTTAAAATAATCTTTTTTTTTAAGGGTAACGTCGAGGACTGTTAGGGTGCCATATTTTGGAAAAGAAAAAAGGAAATAAATTTTCCCGCCATTATTGCCTAGGTATTAAGTTTACAAACTTATCTCAATTTTGGAAATTGTTCCAGCTTCATTTATAGATAAGTTATCTTGGAAAAACAACTTAAAAGTTTTTCTCAAAAGCACGAAAAGATAGCTTTCGCCGTGCCGCTTGGTTTATACAGATAGAAAATGTGCATTATAAATATAATAAATTGGTCTAAGTTTATATTTCTATCATCGAACACGATACATTGAATTTATAACAATTCAATGCACGATATTATAAATAATCAACTTTGGGGATTGACAATAGGCAACTTTACACACTCCGTTCTGCATGTACTGTCCAGCCTCAAGGCGGTTCTAAACAGAAAGTCGGCAACACATCATACACCCATAAGGACATGTCAAATTATTTCTCAGAAAAAAAATTATTTGAAATGGTGAGGAAACGGACAAAACGTTTTGTTGTATACATATATCTGAATGTTACAATAGAACGATTTTTTTAATGAATCGTGTGAATGGATATTATTTTTTCCAGGAATTCGTATTTCCATTATAACCACTGGCTGAGTCTTAAATAATCTTCTATTATAACACAGCTCCTTCAGTGTAGAAGAGTTTAAACCGCTGACAACCTCATGACCTCAATGGCAGGTGCAGGGATACATTCTCATGTCTATGGTACCTGTGTGTATTTTGGGCAATTTGTAATGTGTGTTGCATATAGTAAGGCGCAAATTAAAATTTTATAGCTACTTAGAAGCGCCTTAAAACCTGTAATCTAAAGCTGCACATACATAAAACAATACCATTCCCTAGGGAAAATGTAACAAAAGCATTTATTTTTCATAAACAGAAATACAATAACTTATTTCTTTTTCCCTAATCTTTCTTTCCTTTTTTTCACATGCTTCTTAATCTTCTGTTTTCTTTTCTCGGATTGTACCTCTTTAACCGCCTTTTTCCTAAGCTTCTTTTCATCTACCGTTTCATGTTTGGGTCGTGACGAATCGACAAACTTACTACTTTCATCTTCTGAGTCTTCCTCTGTACCAGCAGAATTCGAACTCTCCTCCTCACTTCCCTCGTCTTCATTGACATCATCTAAAATTTCGGGTTTTTGTACGGTCCCACTTAAATCGCCTTTTAAACCGACCAAAGTTTTGTACACCAAATCGTTGGCCATACCGGACTTCGCCTGCGTGATGTCTCTTTCAAAATCGATTACTTCCGTTAACCGTTTTGGTATGTAAGCGTTTTTAAATACTTCCTCGTCGATCTTTTCTTCTGATGTGATTTCTGGTCTTAAAGCTGCGTTTTCCGATAATTTATCGAGGCACTCTTCGATATTGTCGTCTGTTACTGTGGGGTCGGTGATAAAGTCAAATAACTCCTTGATACCCATCGTTGCAACTTCCTTTTTCCGGAAGAATTCTGTGACGTTAGTGCAATCCTTACGTAAGAAGTCCAATGCGCGAGGGTGGTCATGCTCTACTGATTGAGAAACATCAATAATGAAAGTCTCTCCGTTTTTGTACAACATATTAAATTCGGACAAGTCGGCGTGTACCAATTTACATTTGTTATACATTTTCCACATTAAAAGGACAACTTCTCTGTACACTTTGCGAGCCTTTGACGTGTTTAGCTCTACATCTTTAAGTTTGGGAGCCGGCCACCCATTTTCCCCAATAAATCCCATTAAAAGTACATGAGAACGTAGTAAAATTGGTTCGGGTACTTTTAAACCATTATTAAACATTCTTGTCAAGTTCCTCATTTCTTTTTCAGCCCAAGTGCGTACCATCTTTCTGGGATTGTGCCGACAGTAACCATTTCGGAAGCGAAATTCACCACTCACATACTTATCGCGATCTTTAAACACTAATATCGAAGTTTTATAGATCTTAATGGCGCAATCGATCCCATTTTTTAAAGTCGCATGGTAGACATTCGCTTCTTTTCCTGTTGATATACAGCCGTTAATTTCAGTTATCATATTCCTGCTGAGCAATTTGAATAGGATCATTCGAGTGCGCGGATCCATGACTTGTTCGGCGGTGGCGCGATCATGCTTGTCCTTTAATCGAATTCGTTCGTTTTCGTTTTGGCGCTGCTTTTCGATTAGCCGGTTCGCGGCGTGGTTGGGCAAAGCGGGTCCTTCGTACTTCTCGACATTGATCTTGTTCGTGAATTTACGAAGCAGATTGTTGGTAGGTTGGTAACTTTCGATTTTACTCGATGCCGATTGAGAATTCTGGCTGATGTGGCGTGTCGCATTTGTGGGCCCATAATTTTCATCTTCGAAGTAGTCATCGTAGTAGTCCTCTGAATCTTCACTATATAATTCATCTTCATTTCCAAGAGCTACTTCATTTAAAGTTAAATTATCTACGTTCAAATCCTCAACATCGCAGTAAAGCTCGTCTTCAGTCAATATTATGCCAGTCTCTACCATTTTCACAAATGCAAAGAGAACAATTAAAAATTACTCACAAAACTACATGTGATATTTTTAGGTTATGTATCATACAAAATCAAATAAACTACTACGCGTCATCCGCACTACTGCAAATTACCATTTTAATATACAGGGTCTTCGAATAACTCGATTCTTTTTTGCATTGAGACTATTTACTAATACCAATTTGGTGCACTTACTTACGATTCCACTACTAACACGGCGATCGATAATTTGAAAAAGCTAATATTACGCATACTCGGGCCACAGCGCTTTTATAGATATTTTTATTTAACTGTTGCGAAATATAGTTTTTTTTACAAAAAGGCAGGAGTCTAAATTTACGACTATGATTTTTAAGAAGAGTATTTATTAATAAAAAAAAGGAGTAATGTAGGTATACTGTGCACTTATTTATTAATTCTCCCGTCACCACACAAGTCGCACCCTTCCCCAAACCGCGGTAATTGGTAAAATACACTTTATTGTTCTCAGATGCAAAAACATGGCAATTATTCTCGATTCAAAACTGAGGAAACTCACTTAAAAGACTTAAAACCCACCACAACCTTTAAATTCATTAAACCTATCTCATATAAATTTATACTTTTTTTTGTGTATGGCATATTCACGTTTTCGGCTTAGCTGCAAGTTGAGCTAAAAAAATTGTTCGTCCGAAAAAATGCCTTACTGCATTTGTGCTAACCATGCTAACCTTGTCTAGAATTTGTTCTGCCGCTGTCACTTTATTTTTAAAAACATAAAACCAGTTAAAAATTTGCACTTTTCCTAAACAGTTTCTGGCAACTTTGTCCAAACTTGCGCCAGATATGACACTAGCTATGGTATTCAGTAAAGCTTCCTTCTTGTCTTTGGGAAACCCTTGGGAGATTTGATCCTTTTTGGGAATTTTATATTCCTTCTTTGTCAAACCCCTTTTTCATCATAAGGTCCAATTCTTTTTCCAGGGAGGTTTATTCAAAACGGTTTTGAATTTAAAAGTCTCATCTATATTATGCAAAAAAAACCTGACGATGAGGTTTTCTGTATGGCACCTTTTTGCATGTCACTGGATACCTACCACCAGTTTCTGGACCCAAGTTTATGTATTTGGTTTTTTTGATAACACCCTCTCTTGCTTCTCCTGCAGGATCAATGCTTTATAAACGGCACAGTTCTCACCAATAACTTATATTGTGTCCATGTATTTTTCTCAACGTTTTCAAATTTAGCAAAGGAAATGATAATTTTTTTACCACCTGCACGACAGTAAGGGAGGTATTGCATTGGGGTGAAAAAGGTTCCCCACTTTTTTGATGGACATACACGTTTTCAGTTTTCTGTTCTTAGGCACCTGCACAGAACGATTTCCGTATTTCGTATTTTTCACACACTCTGATTCATTTATGTGTTAGAAATTCTACTGGCTACTCCGAATTAGGTTTTCCTAATTCGTAAGGTAAATACCGGGAGTAGTATGACCTTCTTCTGCAGAGGCACCTATAAATAGCATTATGCGGGCCACTCTGTAATTGGGCGCATGCCTGTTGAGGGCCCAGAACAAGAGATAAATAACATCTAGATGGCTGCTACTTTCTTGTTTTGTATGGACGCCATATTGGATTTTCATGGTAGATAGGGAACAAAGAAGAAATTCATTTGAATGCATCGCCATCATAGCCATGTTGATTCAGCAACATCTCGTGGATGTTTTTGTTAAGAAATGAATGTAAAACATTTGATTTTGAAATTATTCTTGTAAATTTATGTAAAAGTATAGAGTGTGACACGTCATTATTTGAATGTAATGTCAGTTCATAACTGTTGAGAATAATCTAAACTAAATGCATATTAATGTATTACGTAACGTACCTACGTCACTGGCTATTGTCCCATACGTGGTCCTGAAGACAAAAGCGTGCGGTCACATTTTAACAGAAGGTGAAATTAACTTCGTGGCCCTTAAACGACAATAGTTAAGAAGCAACTGACGGTGACAGTAACATGCTTCAAAATATTTTCTTTCCGGATTAAATCAAATCGAATCATTTATCTATTTGACGCTATACGGGTGATGCGATTCGTCGTAAATAAGTTACCCATATAAAAAATTCCATGGAAATTAATAGAGAAAACAATTTGGAATTCCCGAAAAAATTCCCGATCGTATAGATTTATTCAAGGAGAGTTCATAAATACTGTCACCGTAACGTGTATTGTAAAAATACCCGAAAACTATAACAGGTGGTCGCTTTAGCCGTTTTCAAAAATTTGGTTTTGAGTTTGTATTTTAGTAAACGTAGGGAAATTTACACATGTACCGCTTCATAGCAAACATGAACGAAAGTACCTCTGAAAATTTCATTTTGAGTGGAAAATCGTCGCTGCTATTTTTCAATCGCATTGTTAAGAAACTCATTGCGATAAATTGACGGCAAAGTGTCGGTTAGCCTAATTTCTAAAGAGACCGTTCGATTATGAGTGATAAAATTTACGTGAGGGAACATTTTCGAATTGGAGATGCGCTATTCAAATAGAAACGGGATTGAATAAATTAAATTTATTAACTCATTGTGATGAACACTCTACAGTCAACACTTACACACGACGTATAAAGAAACCAATCAAAATGACCACACAACATGTAGCAACGTAAAAGTTTATGTTAGTATATCCCCCTAAAATATTTCACCGTTGCGTCTGTTTTGGGAGATTACAATTAACTGTGGATGGGTGGATAGGTAAATCCATCTGGGAATAGCTCGTATATGGCACAAATACATTCTCTTAAAAATGTTTTCATCGCATCGCTTGTCCACAAAACTTCTTAAATTACTAGATAGATACCTACAAAACACAGTAAAACACATCCAGATTACAACGGCTATCAATTTTGAATGTACAATCAAATATAAAACAAATGTATTTTTAGTTTGAAGGACCGTTCAAACCGACCAGATTACGAAACTGGGAGGTGCCGCATTGGTATCCCAAACGACCTTGTGCTAACCACGGTCGCACAGTTATAAATTCTAACGACCGTGGAAATTTATTGCCGGGAGTACCAAGAAGCAAAGTTAATCAGTGGGGAAATTACATAGGCACATGGCATTATCCACGCAAAATTACACGAAAAATAGGTAAAAGCCGTTACTTTTATCGAATGTACCTAGATATAATAACTGATATGCTTTGCAGCCGATGAAATATCCGCGCCCCGCCAAGATAAAATTTTAGCATGGAAACGTCACTGCCAAAAGTCCCAAAAGAATCAATCGGGTGAAAGTAATCGGGTATCGACTGAAGAAACAGTGCAAGTTCAGGATGCCCCAGTAGTAGCGCAGGAAGAAATTAAACTAACAGACGAGTTGCCGAAAGATGAAAAGCATCCTGTGGTAAGTAAGAGTTCCCTGTATTAGTCTACTTTCAGTACAATTTCAGAATCCATTGTGCCCGATACACGATATGTAAATCTCCTCCAATATGCATCTTTGGGTAGTCACATTAAATTACTAATAAAAATTATTGCAATTGCGGTACTGTAAAATTAACTTTGTCTTTCAATTTTTAAACATGTCTGTGCATTATGGAAACTTAGGACTCGAAAAGGAATGCGGTAGCTCCTTACGTTCCTGGAGATTTGACGGAGGAGAAACATCGCGACCTCGATTATGGTATTCTTAACAAGTATAGGTATGATCTCGGAGGAATACGCGAGAATTCTGCGCCCCTGCAGGGGTATCCAGGCACCAGAGAAGATTTTTATAGATCACCTCCTAAGGAAGCGGAGGACGTAAGGAAGTCTGCGGATGAATTTTACCAAAAGCATAAGGAAATGTTAACGGAGGAGTATAATGGCGATTGGTGCTATGGGTGCCGAAAGGATAAGAGAGTGAATTCGCCAATAATAGCTGCTATAAGAAACTTCGATTTGGCTAAAAAGTTGCACAAGGAGAATTTGGAACATCAGCCATTACCAGATACGGTTAGCGATGCGTTCTATAGGAAGCTCCAAATGCAAAGGCATAGAGAGCCTGGTCTCGCATTAAAAGAAGGTAATTACGCTTCCGGGGTTGCTTGGAAAGCCTACGCAGGTTATGGCCCAACTCGATGTACAAAGCTCAAGGTGTTTAGGCCTAAAACCAGTATATGTAACAAAATTAAGGATTCTGCCAACGATAGACCGAGTAGTGTCAGCAGCTTTGATAAAAAATGGAGATTTATTAGGCAATCGAAGGTAACACCAATACAATTAGCGGTGTGCTGGGATCTAACTCCCGAAAATCCCACAGATGAACCTAAGCGAACACCGCACATTGACGGATCAAACGGTTCCATGGCACCTGCAGTATTTTCACTGGTGCATACGCCTGATGGCGGACGAGGTATCGATGAGGAGGAACAAGAACAAATTTGCGATGGATTACATAATTACAGTAACAACGCACTGCCTTACATGTACGACCCTCAGGCGTACAGAGCTAAAACTGCCAAAAGTATTAGCAGTTCCAGTACGTCCAAAGCAAGCAAACGAATCCAAAGCGCGGCACCGCACCCTCAAAATCCCGATCCAATTTTCACCAGACTGCATTCAAACTCCCCCGAGGTAACGTCAAAAATTACCGCTTACAAATTCTGCAGCAGAGACTGCTATCAGCGCAGTAAAAAGACGCCGAAGAAGCGCTTATGCGTGGCGTGCGAAATGAGGAACGTAAACATTAAGGACAGCAGGCCAAAAACAGAGTACAAAATGGCGTTCAAAGCCGGCATACCGCAAAAAGTAAGTACAGATTATATGAACCTATCAGACACCTTGCGAATACCTAAGATGAAAGATCCATATAAAGAGAGGAATTATACGATTAACAGTTTGGCCCCTCCTTTCTCTTTGCAGAACTTTAAGAGGCAAGATTATCCCGAACACTGGCGATTAGCTACGATTTATCAACACTCTTATAAACCTATGCAAGCACGAAAGCGACCTCTACTTGCTACCGTGTTTAAGTAGGTAGTTGCTTACTATAGCATTTATTGACATTTTATATCCGTATTATTAATTTTATTCATAGTAGTAGGTAAGTAAAATGGTAGGCTAGAGTTCTGGAAAAGGTGTACTGTATACTAATTGCTCAGATACTGTTTACCACGGTTGTTTGATATACGATAGTTGAGCATCTTTACACAGTATAAGGCTATGTAAGCTCGTCTTATCAATGTTACATGCACTGATAAATGAAATAAAAGAATGTTCATCAATCATTTCATTTACTTTGCTGCATCAATTTTGGAAAAAAAATGACATCAAAATGCATAATCTGAAATATTAAAACAAAAAGATTCAGCTTGTAACAGTTAGTTACAAAATTCACACTGACGATGCCTGCTCAAACCAATTTTCAAAACTGTTGAACTTCATGCCGATGGCTAGCTCAGTGATTATCGGTCTTTAGTGTAAATAAACAAATAAAAACAATAAATTGTTAAACTTGTCGCGCCTTTCATTGGAAGCCACCTGGTTGTAAATAACGAATCCAACATTTCTAAATGCAGAATTCTGTGCCCAAGAAATGACAAGAACAAATAAATATTTGACGCATACAACAAAGGCAGAGAAACCTTCTTTGGGACAAAAACCTCGGCATAACCGACAGAAATACATGAAATAAATCTACTATGGCAGCAAAATGCAAGAGAAAATCCACAAATAAAACATCTCAAACTGTACGATACAAATCTGGTAATCGAATCAAATGCAGTTAAACAAAGTCAAAAAAACAAACACAAGAGACATTATAAATGCATGTGGAAAGCACTATAAATCAAATCAGGTAAAATGGTCAATTACAAGTACAAAAAAAGATCGCGTCAAGCATAGCTGCAGCATTGACTTCAATTAATTTAACACGGAAAGGTACAAGTGACAAACGCCAGCAGTATTCAGGTTAAACTCCATTATCGCACAAGCAAATCACATAAATAGGAGAAATGTTAATAAGAGGACCCCTCTCTCTCGTATAGTTTTACGCAACGTCCGGCAATGGGCCACGAACAACATATGTAGCGAATCATCAGATTATATCAGTTACTCCCTTCGCGGAACATTGTTAAACTACTCGTACGGAGACGCATCCAATTATGGGACCCCCTTCTCGTATATGCTAAGACACAAGAGCGCAATCCGCACGAGATGAGTAAGCAACAGATACAGCAAAGAATCAAAGGACTGTATGAGGTACTCACTCCACGGAATAGTGGAATCGAAGCATACAGAGCATCAACACCAACACCAGAAATTTAACAAAACAAAGCAAACTAAAAATTGCAACAAGTGTTTTTTTTACTAAACATATAACAGTCAGGAAATGAACCACTTAATAAATCCGTCCGATGCCTAGTGACAATTTTCAATTATACAACAAATAAGTTACAATTATGGCATTAACTTTGTGTACTCGACAAAAAAATTACTCTTCTTCACATGATCCCACACTTTCGAGCAATAAACGAGCCAATGCTTCTCACTTGTATTGTTCAAATGGTATTTAGTGGCGCCGAGTATATTCGAACGCAACTTCTTGACGAGATCTTCAAGCGACGGGTGGCCTTTATACACTTCATCTGGAACACACTAAAGGTAGGAACATGTACGCCGTTAATTTCCAGACTTACCTGTCTTTTCGTTATACTCTGGTATGAGGAACAAATTAATCGGATCACCACAATTATTTGGAGATAAACTGTTCATAATTCTGCCAGATCCAAGACCCATGCCGGATTCTAAATGCATTTTTGATTTGTTAAATAGCGTTCTATACATCTAAAATGAAAAAATAAGCGGTCAGCACTAGTATTGCTGAATTGCTGCATGAATATAGGCGCAATAATGCGAACAGATCCCTTTCTTAAAAAAGATATGTTTAGAACCTTTGTATCACACTTTAGTTTTGCGAACAACAGTACAGACTGACCACATGCAGCCTCTAGTTCGTAACATATTTCTACCTCGTTTTCCCATAATTTCGAAATAGTTGAACAAATCAGTTATGAAATGATAAATTACCTGCTGCATTTGCTTGAACTTTTTTGGAGAAAAATCTTCCATTTGAGCCTTATTTTGGATGATTATTAAATGAGGAAAATGATCCACAAGTTCGTCCTCTGGATTTGATATAGTCGGCTTCAACATTTCTGCTGTTTGTAGAAACCTATATTAACAAAATGTATCAAGTCAACTGGGTCAATGTTTCAGTCGGTTAAGAAAAATATAGACCAAGTCTCACATTTTATTTGAAAGGCACTTAATGCACCTGCCCTCGCACCTGCCACAGAGTGACACATCCTTTAGTAGGCCATAATATTCTCTGTACAAAAATGCCACAAAATCAAATTTGTACAGCCTGGTCAAGACGTAATTAAAACAGACCATCAAAAATAAAACAGCAATAAATTATACTGTTTACAACCTTATAATACTAAATGCTCCATTAGTGCCCATTCACTAATACAGTATATGCTCAAATTGTTCAGGAACATTAAAGGGGCCACTAAAGCATATGTGATGGAGCCCCATATAGCTGAGCATGAAATTGCCAAGAGCTCGGGGTGTGCCACAAGCAAATAAAACGTACACCTACTGTAATTACATTAAATTACTCATATAATTTCAGATAATTTTTGTAATTTTGTGATTACACTACGTAATTTTTGTAATTTTCGGCTTGTATTAAGTAATTTTTGGAATTTTCGAATTGTAATAGTAGTTTTTCTGTAATTTTTGATATGCATTGCGTAATGTTTGTAATTCCAGAATTACAAACGGTAATTTCTGTAATTTCAGTAAACTTCTAAATGTGAAACTGATTATGTAATAGTTGTCAAGATTGCTGTATCTAAACAAATTCGTGTCAACCACAACGATATCAGTTATTACGTTGAAATTTATTCACTTGCAACGCAACCTGAGGCGCAACCCACGGACTAATGGGACTAATCAAAACCACAAAACTGTAGCAAATTTTTGAGGTATAAACGGATGACAACATTATATTCTTTTTGAAACTCTTGAAATATGTCACCACCTAAATCACCTGATTCCCTTTGATTAATAGTACTGTCTTCCATCTGAAAAAAGACGTGGCTACTTATTGTAATAAATTAAACAAATATAGCAAACGAGCTCCTGGGTATGGCTATAGCATGTGCAAAACCAAATTTTAAACCTGATGTTAGTTTTGCTTTTATTTTAAGTATATATGTATGAAATTTCATTTAATTGCTTCCATAAATAAGAAAGTTCGCACTGCACATCCTACACAATACCAAATTTGGAAAATGGCGCTACATTTGCTTTCATTCCAAGTGGCTATGTATCAAATTTCATTTGAATGCCTTCATAAATAAGCAAGTTGGCACTGCGCATGCGCAAAACCAAATTTTGAAACAGGAGTTATATTTGGTTTTATTCCAAGTGTCTATGTATCAAATTTTATTTAAATCCCTCCATAAATAAGGAAGTTGGCACTGCGCATGCGCAAAATAAAATTTTGAAACTGGTGTTAAATTTGGTTTTATTCCAAGTGATTATGTATCAAATTTCATTTAAATATACCTTCATAAATAAGAAAGTTTGCAATTCGGTCTGTAAATGGTCAAGATGCGCAAAGGGCACTGTGAATGCTGATCAATTAGGCTCAACTTTTGGAATTGTGTTTTATATGGCTAAAGCTATGCGCATATTGAATTTCATGCAATTCGGTTCATAAATATAACGGAGATGTCAAAAGGGCCTACTTTATTTTTCGGTCTACATTGTCAATTCACGAACTCCGATCTACAAATTTGATAAAGAATCCATCTGCAAAATTTCATCGTTATCGGTCCATTCGTTTATCAGTTATCGTGCTGACGGACGGACGGACGGACAGACACCGCAAAATGATAAACTCGCTAGGAGCTCGTTAATAAAGCAGAATAATCGTATTAATCAATAAACTGCTAAATTAGCGGAATTTTAATACTTTAGAGTGGGGACGACAATAATTTTTCTACTTACAATGTAATGCTTGTAATTCTTTATGTAATTTCATAGTAATTTTGGAGAATAAGTAATTTTTGTAATTAATCTACTCTAATAAGTAATTTAAGTAATTTTATAGAATTTCAAGTAATTTAAAATTACATACATCTCATTTGTACACCAAAAATTACTCGTGTCACACCCCTCGGCCAAGAGCATAGCTCCATTTTCATTTACTTGGTTGGCCAAAGAATGTGTCATATGTAGCTTATTCGTGCCGCCTTACTAGTGGATAAAACGGAATTTTCTGTTCCTTCTTTCCTTTGTATACCTGACTATAATAGTTACTGACTGTTATATAATACAGTTCATAAAAAATAGCCTAAACATTTGAATCAAAAATCCCATTACAGTATCCCTTTTTACTTTCAGACCACAAAGTATGTATAAAGGAAAGTATTGTTTTGTTTCCAATAGGTGCTGTAACTACCATATATGGCACACATACAGTCAGATCAGTTTAAGAACAATTGCGAGTCATGAATTAGATGACATCACATTGGCGCATGCTTGCTAAACTTTTGAAGGTGTTGCTCAACTAACAACAATTATTATTAATAAATGAGCTAAATGCAGTGTCAAGTGTCAGATATCAACGAAAAAGGGTTTTGCACATGGAACTTTTTGTTAAATTGGAATGGCATGTTTTTCTGTTGATGACATGCAACCATTCTAACTGTACTTTTTTACATCTAAATTTACTTACCGGATAACATTACTATCAAAAAACCAGTCTTGAGCCAAAATTAAAACATGGCAAATAGACATAAGTAAAGCAGTCATCTGCAATCCCTGAATTTCACCACTATTTTCCAAAGGTAAAAAGTCATTAACCATACTCGACACCTTTGCCTCACTACGTATAAAATCATCCAGCACTGCCACGGAACTGAAAGGTTGACAGTCCAAAAAAATAATCTACGTATAAAGAATCATTAACAATTTATCGACAATACTCAAAAGGTCTACTTACTCTATTCTGAGTAATAAAAAAATCAATTCCACTTGTACCATTAGAATTGCTAGCGATGTCGGCAGCACCTTGTGGTTTAAATATCACATTGTCCACCTTGATTTTGCAATCCGATTCGTTTACAGTCACGTCAAATTCAGGTACATTTTCTTTCGAGTCCTCTGAATATTTGAATATCGACCTTTTCAAGTCGTTACTAATGGAATTATGAGCGAGGAGATTTAAAATAGTTGATTTTCCGACACCTTGCATACCTACGATTCCAACAACAAGATAATCGTCGTTTTCTTGCAAGTAATCTTGGACATTTTCCGGGCAAATAACGCCATCGTCCAGTAGCTTCACACACTTTACGATTTTTTTGGCTAAATGTTGTTTGGATGCTGCAACGGTAGAGTAAATTATCAGTATGTTAGTCAGTAGTCTTACATTCGGAATGTAGAGATGCGGAAATGGCGATCGATGGTGTGGAGTCGCTTTCACGTATGACTGGCTTTGGCGAGACCGAACGCTCTTCTGCATGGTGTTCACGAGCCAAAATCGTAGTTTTCTTAATACTTTTAGGTTTGTCGTCAACCTTATCTGATTCTTTTGTGGTGGAAGTCTTGCTGTTGAAAAATCGGCTTCCAAAATTGTTACTTTCCTGTAAATGATAATGTAAGTACCTTGAAACGAAGTCGTCATTTCAAAAATTACTCGATTCGGAAATTTTTTCTTCCCATAAAATTTTGATCTGTCGTAATCAGACATTATTTAAATTTCTCATAAGTATGTCATTTTAGGGTTATGTTTACAATCTGTACCATGTGTCTCTGCTCTATCCGCTATTCGGCCGCTGGAAGTGGCTAAGCGAGCACCTGAAATCTGACAAAAACAGATTCTGTAAACTTTAACCGTCATTCATCGTCGCCCGTATTGAGCAAGAGCTCGTGACTGGCAGACGATGCAATTTTTATTGCAATTTTTGCAGCAATTCATTGCCGCAAGAAATTGCACGAAAAATTGCTCCGTGTATGTTAAAATTGCACGTGCAATTTCTTGCGCCAAATATTGCAGCAAGACATTCTGCAATTTTCTGGTTATAGAACTTGTGCTATTTTTCTTGCAATTTTTCTTGCAATTTAGTAACTATTTTAGTAACATTTAATTTATAAAAAAAATAAAGTGGTATGCACTGGAGAACATTACCTCCTTATGCTATATACAGGTTTGTTATTTAAAGTTAAAACTGAAATAACCTATTTACGAGGAATTCAAAAATGGATATTGCTGCCGCATCTTTAGTTATTGCGTCTGCTGTTGCTCTTTTAAAAAAAAGAAACAAAGAAGACGACGACATTTTTGGACCAGGCAGTGGCTTGCCAATAACGATTTCACAAAGGGAAACTTAAACCTACTCAATGAATTTAACGAACCTGATGGCCGTTTGCACCGACATATTTAAGTCGAGCTTAGCTTAAGCGTAGCTTAAAATCCATGGCAACAATTGTCTCAATAATCGTTGTCGTTGCCATGGATTTTAAGCTACGCTTCAGCTAAGCTCCACTTAATTTTGTCGGTGCAAACGGCCATGAGTGTGAATAAGTGCGTGCAAATATAAATAATAAATTGCACGGCCTTCAACAAAGGAAACGTCACAAAACACACGTTTCCTGGTCTACAACAGACGTGAAGTTGCTTTCAAGTATTTCCCAGTGATGCCAATTCCACTTTCATTGGCACCAATACATGATTAGAATTGGGTATAAAAAAATTTCCAAATAAATTGCATAGTGTAATCATTGCATCTTTTTGCAATAATTGCTGCAATAATAGCAGCAATAGTTGCTGCAAGGATTGCAATAAAAATTGCATCGTCTAATACGGCCTTTATTATTTTATAAACCTGGGCATCGATTCCCGAAGTTAGTCGATATGCTCCGTGATGTGCATGTGATGTGCCCGGCTGCGATGCCGTCATGATCGTATACGATAGGGATAAGTTCAAGTTCAGCCGCATTCCCGAATCGTGGACAAACTTTATGCGCTAACCAATCACAGACAAGAATTGAACTGTCATTTGTCAGTTTTGTATTTTGTTTTGTTTTTGCATTATGGATACTGCTATTAATAACCAGAAAATCCTCGAACAATTCCATGTTTTATTTCACAGAAAATATGTGAATTTATAGGTTAGGGCACTGAATAACCTCTATAGCAAAACAGCTGCAAGATCCGTCCTGTAGCTACAACTGCGCATGACTTTCACGCAACGAGTGGTCTAGACCAGTCGTTGCGTGAAAGTCATGCAGCTACAGGACGGATCTTGCAGCTGTTTTGCTAGGGGTTATTCAGTGCCCTAACCCTATACCCTCTCTTATCTCCTGCCCGCTGTCGGCCAGTGCGTAAGCCAAGCGAGAAGGGGGGTGCTCTAATTTGATGTTTCTCTGTATGGCCGTTTAATTATTGCGCTGCTGGACGGTGCGTGAGCGAGAAAGGGGTCCTCTAATTAATATTTCTTCTATTCATATGCGGTTTTGCTTGTGTGTTAGTGGACTATAACGAATACTTACCACTGGCATTCTCACACTTTTGGTGTATAAATTAATTGGAAATAGATGGTGGAGTAGAGCTATGCGTTTGATGTTCATTTTTTGTACATGCAGTTTAACATTTTATGAGTTGTTTTATCTAAATTGAACGGTAGATATGCCGGCAATGTAAACCGGTTTGAGGGTAGTTGCACCCATTTATCTTGCGAAAACACGTAGTTATGGCGTTAAGGCAATTATACTCAGTTTTTACGTGTCAGTCATCGGTGTGAAAAGAGGAATAATATAATCGGTTGTGATGGAGATCTCTATATCACAATTGTACCTACGAGCATATCGGAAAGCATTGTGAAATTGGGGTTAATGCTGCCCATCAGCACGGTGTGGGAGAGAAGAGGTGAAGGTTAAGCAGTTTGGCGGAAATCGGTTGACCAAAGAAGAAGGAAGTGGGGACCCTAAAAAAGTGGATGGTGGTAGCTAAGCTACGCACTCGAGGTGCCGTTGATTTGGGGTTAAGGGAATGGGGTGGAAGGTATAAAGCCTGTGTACTGGGATAGCGGTTCCTCTGGCTGATACAAGGGAGGAGTGGTGGTTGGTAATGAAAAAGGGATCGCGAACGGAAAGTTTGGTTTTTGTATTCAAAGGAGTACGTCGGATAGAAGGACCAGAGCAGTTGTTACATATGGGTTCGATTTTGTTTAACCTTGGCCGATTAATGGATGCTATTTACCAAAGAGGCTGCCTTTTTTATTCTTTCTTTTTTATTAACGAGCTCCTAGCGAGTTTATAATTTTGCGGTGTCCGTCCGTTAGCACGATATCTCGATAACGAATGTGCCGATTACGATAAAATTTAGTAGATGGATTCTTTATGAAATTTGTAGATCGGAGTTCGTGAATTGGCAATGTAGCCCAAAAAATAAAGAAGGCCCTTTTGACATCTCCGTGAGTTATGAACCGAATTGCATGAAATTCAATATGCGTATAGGTTTAGCTATATAAAACGCAATTCCAAAAATTGAGCCTAATCGATTAACATTCACAGTGATCTTTTCGCATCTCGACCATTTATAAACCGAATTGCAAACTTTTTTATTTACGAAGGTATTTAAATGAAATTGGATACATAGCCACTTGGAATAAAACCAAATTTAACGCCAGTTTCAAAATTTTCTTTACGCATGCGCAGTGCCAACCTTTCTTATTTATGGAGGCATTTAAATAAAATTTGATACATAACCACTTGGAATAAAAGCAAATATAACGCCAGTTTTAAAATTTGGTTTTGCGCATGCGCAGTGCCAACTTTCTTATTTATGGAGGGATTTAAATGAAATTTGATGCAATTACCACTTGGAATAAAAACAAATTTAACACCAGTTACAAAATTTGGTTTTGCCCATGCGCAATGCCAACTTTCTTATTTATGGAGGCATTCAAATGAAATTTGATACATATAGTCACTTGGAATAAAAGGAAATGTAGCGCCATTTTCCAAATTTGGTTTTGTGTAGGATGTGCAGTGCCAGCATTCTTATTTATGGAAGCAATTAAATGAAATTTCATACATATACACTTTAAATAAAAGCAAAACTAACATCAGGTTTACAATTTGGTTTTGTACATGCTATAGCCATACCCAGGAGCTCGTTTTCTATATTTGTTTCGTTTATTATTTTCTACCATAAGACAGCCGGCATCCCCAATTTACCCGATAGACCGTGAAACAAAAGTCACGCCTCCACCTGATTTGATTTATCAACTTGGCATATATGAATCTCCAAATCCATAAACTTCCGTATTAGTTATCGGACACAGTAATCACCTAATGGCTAATCACCATTAACTCTGATATAGCTTTATAGGAAAAATATGTTTTATGCGTTGTTAATACGGAACGATAATTTTTTTGTTTACTGCACTAATGGGACTATATTTGCGAATTTCATATCTCTTTTTATGATTCACCGAGGTAGAAATGCTATGTGCAACTTGGATCAGAAGGATACGGTTCTCAATATACACTCTACCTTGCACACCTTTCTGCTCTCTAATGCTCGCAAGCTGTGCTGAGTGATTGGAAATCTTGGAAACTATACTGTCGAATTTCAAACACAAATGAACATTGCTCATTTATCACTCAGATCCTCAAAATATTATTAATTTGCGTTAAATTAGAACTTCCGCAGCTACCTACATTTTTATCAATTGTTTAGAGCGTATCACAATGATTATAACGACTCAGTACAGTTTGTGGACGGGCAGTGATTAAACAAATGGAGAAGTACTGTATTAAACAATTGCGGAGGATGAGAGAGTTCATTAATCATTTTCAATTTAATATGAATATGGTAAGTAAAGTAAATCGCTCAAAACACACCAAAAATTCATCAGCCATCACCCACTTATGAACTTAAGTTCAATGTGTGGCCCATAGGCGCAACTAGACTTCAACTTTTGGGGGGGCTACAGCCCGGTGTAAATTATAAAGCCCATTCCAAAAAACTATCCAATTTTTATCTCTTTTCTTAAGAGCATTCCCATTCTACTAAGTTGAAAATTTTCTGAATTCTGAACATCACATTCACTTTATTAAAGACATTACCAAATGTAAATTTATCAAATTATTTTATTATTATTATTTTGCGGTGCCTGTCCGTGTGTCTGTCCGTTTGTCCGTCCGTTAGCACGATATCTCGTAAACGAATGGACCGATTACGCTGAAATTTTGCAGGTGGATTCTTTATCATATTTGTAGATCGAAGTTCGTGAATTGCTAACTTTCTTATTTATGATGGTATTTAAATGAAATTTGATACATAACCACTTGGAATAAAAGCAAATTTAACGCCAGTTTCAAAATTTGGTTTTCCACATGCTATAGCAATACCCAGGAGCTCGTTTTCTATATTTTTTACACGTTTATTATTATAAAAAAAACAAGAAGTAAATTTTATTGATGTTACTACAGGCCTATTTTTCTAGTTTTTTTTGCAAATTTATTAACAATTTGTTCGGAATCGACGGAAACGCCTCTTTCTATATATCAAAGAGAAATATTAGAGAAACGGTCTTGAGCCATTGTTGTTCTTAACCAGCTCATAAATTTCGCATAGCCGAAAATGACCTTTCACAGGTTGCTGAAGAAACTGGCAATATGATTGCAGCTTGAGAGATGACTCAATAGTTCACCGACCGACCGACGCCGACGCCTACAATATTCCGCTCGGGTAGCAAGCGAGTTCAAAAATTTTCAGGGCAAATAAGTAAAGCTGCATACGATATACAAATTATGATTTGTCGCACGGCTTAGGGGGGCTGATTTCGGTTTTGGGGGGCTTAGCCCCCCCTAGTTGCGCCTATGGTGTGGCCCTTCTTTAAAATTGAATACCTGCAATTGATTTTGCTGATTTAATTAATTCTTACCCTCCTCATTGAATAAAAAATTATGTTTTTATTCAATGAATGGCTATTAATGGCTGTCAATTCCGTTTTCAATTGAAATATAAATTTTAGAGTATTATCATTAATAGAAATGTGTTTATAGATCGCCTATATCTACATATGACCCACAAACCTCTTTACCGCATTCCCTTTAGTTCCATTTTTTATAATTAGGACTAGATTTACCATAGTTCAAGCAGATATTAGCAATGTCCACTAGAAATAAAAGGGAAAAGACAATTTTAGACATTTTGGAATCGCAGTTCTCAACAAAACATCCTCGACTGTCCGTTGGGAAGAAATACTTTTAGAATTATATAATTTAAGATGTCTGAAAGAGCCTTCATGCTTTATACGCTAATAGATTTCCCTCTTCTCCTAAAAAGTTGTGTTTGTGTGTCTGTAGGCGGCTTTAGTTAATGAATCCCCGGTCCACCCAACCTTTCATACCATAATGCAACCCGTACACACATGTCAGCCTTTATTCTGTAAAAACGATTTTTATAAAAATAAACCGATACAACGAAATATCGAAGGATCCTCAGTATTACAATCACTTTTAACGACAATTTATTTTAATCTTACAAAATACATTTTATAGTTAACAAAAATGCATCAAATTCATGTCTTGGGCTTTGAGATAATGCTCTTGGTTTTTTTCCCAACGATCTTGGTGCATAAATAACGATTTTGACATGTTTTGATCAAAATCCATGTGGTCCATAAAAATAGATCAAATTCATGTTTAGATCATTAAGATAATGCTCTTGATCTTTTTCCCAACGATCTTGGTGCATAAATAACGATTTTGACATGTTTTGATCAAAATCCACGTTTTCGCCAAAAATTCATCAAATTCATGTCTTGGGCATTGAGATAATGCGCTTAGTCTTTTTCCCAACGCTCTTGGTGCATAAATAACGATTTTGACATGTTTTGATCAAAATCCACGTGGTCGCCAAAAATGCATCAAATTCATGTCTTGGGCATTGAGATAATGCGCCTAGTCTTTTCCCAACGATCTTGGTGCATAAATAACGATTTTGACATGTTTTGATCAAAATCCACGTGGTCGCCAAAAATGCATCAAATTCATGTCTTGGGCATTGAGATAATGCGCGTAGTCTTTTTCCCAACGATCTTGGTGCATAATTAACGATTTTGACATATTTTGATCAAAATCCATGTGGCATCAGAAAAATAATTTAACATTTTTGAATCACACACATGCGGTTATCAAACGTGCACGTTATCAACTCTTTCAGCATCAAGATAATGCGTTTGAAAGCTTTTACAACTCTAAATTCATGTGTAAAGAATAATTTTGGGTACATTTTGCTCTAAAACTTTTGACCGAGACCACAGAGAAGAGTTATATTGAATTGTTACACATCTAAGAGTCATAGGGAATAATCTAGCGAAAGTCCGAACTCGATACATGACCTAGGGAATGAAATATGTTAATTTTTATTATATTGAGTTCGCAGTTTTTCCTGTTCCCGATTCACTCGAAGTCGTATAACTTTTGTTCCTGTTAAACCAGCTTCCTGAAAATCAATAGCGTCCGTTCTTAATGTCCAACGTACCCGTATACCAAATTTCAACACAGTCGGCCACTTTTAAAAAGAGTTAGAGCGCACACGGACGGACGGACGGACGGACGGACGACAATACAAAACTATAAAGGATCTGAGGATCCTTAATAAAATAAGAAACGCAAATTGTGGTTTATTGGGAAAGCCTTGATTAGTTGTTATTTTACATTAACCTTTTTTTACATTTCTACAATTTCTGGAGGCTCATTCATTCATTAGATCGGTTTCAAATATCCCCGATTCTCCTGAGTCCTTTTCTTTGAATTCTCTTTCAGATTCTACAGACTAATATTTCGACTCAGATTTGATATATTTGAGTTCTTTGCATTGGATTCTTCGAATGCTTTGGACTCTTTAGATCCATCAGGTCCTTCACATCCTTAAGATTTTTCGAATTCTTTCGTTCTTTTGGATGTTCTTTAGGTACAGTTGTCACATTCTTGAACGGATTCTTATGCTTTTTTGGATTCTTCAAATTCTTTCGATACTTCATATATTCATCAATTTAGCTAACTTTCAATGGAACAGATCGAATATTTTGGAAGCTTCGTATTGTTCAAGATGTTTCTAATGCTTCAGATTCCTCAGATTCAACTAATTCTTTATTAGGTATGTTTGACATTTTTTAGTTTTTCAAGCTCTTCGATTTCTTAAGACCTATCGGAACTTCCACGTTATTATAATTTTTCCGATTCTTCTGTTTTTCGGATTCTACGGACTATTTGAATTCTTGGTCTTTGTCTTTGAATTCCTCCGACTTTTTGGACACTTTGGATACCATTTATATATGCACCAAATGTCTGATATGCTTTAGTTAGCACAATATAGATAGAAAGACTGTGTGCACTAGGAACGACGTTTATTAAAGTCCCAATTTTTATAATTTGTTACTTAATTTTAATTTTCTACATCTCGTGACGTTAATTAGTTTTCAAAGATATCATTTAATAAGACAAAATTAGACAGACTTTTATATATGACAAATATTACCACACAATAACACATTTGCATTTTCAGGAATTCCCTTTATTATATTTACTAAATAAAATAAAATAAAATTACTAATTACTAATTACCTTCAAGGTCGTTTTGATCACGGTGGCTAAATTGTGATATTTTGCACTAAAGTGACTGATATTACCAGGACAGTACCTACTGGTTTTTCAAAACCCGATGCTGGTAAAAGTCACAAAATGCACCTATCGTTTAAATTGCATGCATTTATTAACGAGCTTCCTGCGAGTTTATAATTTTGCGATGTTTGTCCGTCTGTCCGTCCGTTAGCACGATATCTCGATAACGAGTGGACCGATTACGATAAATTTTGTAGATGGATTCATTATTAAATTTGTAGATCGCAGTTCGTGAATTGGCAATGTAGCCCAAAAAATAAGGAAGGCCCTTTTGACATCTCCGTGAGTTATGAACCGAATTGCATGAAATTCAATATGCGTATACCTTTAGCCACATAAAACGCAATGCCAAACTATGAGCCTAATCGATCAACATTCACAGTGCCCTTTTCGCATCGCGACCATTTATAAACCGAATTGCAAACTTTTTTATTTATGAAAGTATTTAAATGAAATTTGATTGGAATAAAAGCAAATTTAACGCCAGTTTAAAAATTTGGTTTTGCGCATGCGCAGTGCCAACTTTCTTATTTATGGAAGCAATTAATGAAATTTCATACATATACACTTTAAATAAAATCAAAACTAACATCAGGTTTAAAATTTGGTTTTGCACATGCTGTAGCCATACCCAGAAGCATGTTTTCTATATTTGTTTAGTTTATTAATTTTTGAAGTGACTATACTTCTTATCGCAAGGTATGCACTATAATGTTTTGAATGGGAGCAGAATCAATGCGAAACGTCACAGAATATAGACTACGCTTGTATATCCTATGGTCATTACGCGTAGCACTCTGCAGCCGAAGACGATTCCGGCATAGCTTGTCTGACAATTGTTTAAAGCACATTTGAATAGAAATTTACCATTGAAATAGATTTTTTTTCTTTAATTATAAGTGCCATAGGGATTTATTCATTTGTAAATTTGTATTAATTTTGTTCACATTGTTCTGTGCATCATCTTCTTGTGAAAAAACGAACCGAAAACAATGGCAATGCATGGGTACCGGATTTTGGTTCATTTTTATACACGTTATCTATTTTCAAAAATGTTGTTTTTTTATTTGTATCTATTTACACAACACCTGTAAAAAATATAAACAAAATCGGTAAATTTCGATTTTTCTGGCATATTTTCGGAAGTAATCGGAATGTTCTGATTTTCTTTGCACTTTGCAGCCTGATAATAACTCTTGAATTGCGCAATTTTTCCCTAATATTGGACTGACGTCGTATCTTCCTTGGTTAGGAGATCCCCATCGACTTGACAAAGGCAGCGAACTTAGCTGAAAACACAATACTTAGCTGAAATAAAAAAGCTACATTAATATACCAAGCCCGGGTTCGCTATATTATCTGCTGACGTTCAGGAGCAAGCCGGTGATTCACCAAGCAACAAAAGATTTTGATGGGTTTCCAGTGTTTACTGCCGATCAATCCCCAAAGTCTAATTAATAAAACCTTAGAAGTATTGAAGTCTCTGCTCTTATTTTATAAGGGTGAATAGATGAGCTAACAGCAGAACTGAAATTATGGGTACAGACTGATTGTTAAGTTGGGCAAGCAGGAATGGCCTAAAGATGCCTTGAGTGCAATCAAATATTGCGCTGATTACGTTTTTCGATACATATAAACATTAATGCGTAAGTATATTAACGGTACTTACTGCTTGTTTTCATCGCGGAAATGAATGACCTTTTTTGATATTACGCCACTACTTGAAAAATACTACATCAGGACATCATGAACTAACGCTCTTGACAGAGATTGGAGTGATATACCTAGTGATATATGAAATCCACAAACATTTGGACTTTTATGACATCATACTTATTGACTATCCCACTATCCGTACTTACATACCTATAAAATGTTGGTATAACTGAAAACTCCCCCCCCCCCCTCCCGAATTCCTGGATGCGCCACTGTCTCACACGGCACAAACACGAGGGTATTGATCTTAAACTGAATTCTCACTTTGGGGCTATCATACAGATGACTTATAAGGAATAACACAAGCTATCCTCTGGTATTGTACATTAACCTATCATTCATTGAACCACACAATCCCCACAACCACGTCAACGAAAAGCACTGAGAAGAAAAAGCTCTTTCCTTGTCTAAGAGAAAAAGTAACCTTGACATTTTTGTCATTATTTCACCTATTTCTATAATTCTCTGGATTTGAACAGTTTCGCAATAATCAGAATCTCGTAAACATTCCTAAGTTAATATTTAGTTTAGAAAGATATCAATTTCCCAATCAATAAAATGATAGCTGATATATCTGAAACGTAGGTATACTGGTTTTCCACTTGATTAAATAGTCACGTCATGTTTGTCTTTCATATACTCCTCTGCGAATTAAGAATTAAAACCGGGAGTCTCTATACTATATAGGAAAATGGCTCCTGGACAAAGAAACTTGAACCATTCCTTGATGTTAATGCACTTTCTGTTTTCGTTGTTCATGACTAAGGTGTCGATAAGAAATAAAATTGGGTTGTAAGTAACTTAATTGTTAGGAAATTATCAGACAAGTATTCTTATCATCTACTATGTAATTGCCGATTTAGAACATTAGTCAACACGATAAGGTGTAACATGCTTCAGGTACGTTCATTTGCATATATGCCTACTAAGGTCGCGTTCAAATAAAACAATGTACTTTGAAAATGCAAATATTGTCTTATTTACCTTGATGACTAAGATTTACCACCCAGTCCCACCCTGCACGTTTTTAACAAGAAGGTACTAGAGACATACCTTAAACTACCAGTAGACGGTGCGGAGACACCGCCACTTGTAAGTTATTTAAATGTCAATACACGCTTTATAAAAACACAAAAGTATACGTGCGAAATTAGTTTGTGTAACTACCCACAAATACCTACTTATTCCAATCCAATATCAGTTAAATGACCCCAAACGTAAGTTCAAAATGAATGCAAATTAAATTATTAATAGGAGACAATGTTCGGGAAGAAGCGAATAGCGTACTGGGTATCGGAAAAGAAAATGAAGAAGCTTAACTGGTTCGAATTTGAAGGAGTTTGTAATAATTTTGGATACGAATTGTTTAAGGTAAGCACATCGTGAGTCCCGTGATTGTAATAAAGTTCTCTCTTTCTTTAGTTGGACCTAGAAAGCGACCTGGAGAGTCAAGGCGGTTTTAATGTCCTTTTACATAAACTTACGGATACAATTGCTTTAGCTAATAATGGAGATGAGAAGGTAAGCATAATTGTTATTGATGAATGAAGGATTTGGGAAGAGGCACAATTAGATGTAGTCTATGAACATCAATTAAGGAACAATTGACACAGAATTTAGTGCTTTTCAATTCTCTTTTTGCATTTTTCACTTATTACTGATTTTAAGGTTGCATTTGGTACCCATGCAGAATTAAGTAGGTCCACACAAACAAGAGAGAACAGAAGGCGAATTTGATTCTTGCATTAGTATCCAGGTTTTAAGTAAATTGGTGGGGTCTAGAAATAAGTATAGTACAATCTTGATAATCCGACATAGTGGTATTGAAAATAGTTACATAAAAGTTAGGAAAATGACAATACTGGCGAGGAAATATTGAAGTAAGAGGCCCCCCTCCCGGGCCAAGTACTTTAATTTCCAAGTCGAGTAGTGTTGTTTTCTTGAGGAGTTTTTAATATAAAATTTCGATTTATATAGAACATTTCATTAACGTTAATCTGTCTGATGACAGCAGTCATTATAGACATCTAGCAATGTGACAGGCAGGACCGGACTGGACCAACGAAACAGCCCGGGAGATTTTGTTAAACCGGCCCACTACCTTACCAGACCTTCCCGATTGTGACACGGTCGGCTTTGTTAAAGCTCAAGACCGCGGTCCTGGGCCTTGAGCACCAGCCCATCGGGAAATGGTCCAGGGCCGGCTCTGGTGACAGGGGCAGTCGGAAAAGTGACATGTGCGGCCGGAAAAGTGACATGTGCAGCTGGTAAAGTAGTCTGGTAATTTCCTGACATAAAGTAGGCATGAAAATGAAACTTTCATTTTGGGTAAAAAATTATTGTAGGTTTGACTTACAAGCTAGAAAGAAACCCAATAGACATTCTATGAGTGTGAGAGAGACATAACTTTACCAATGTTGACATTGACAGTGGCAATTACCTACATGTGTCTATTATACTCGCCTATACTCCAAGACATGTATGGCATCAGCGCTTTTAGTTTGTTGTGTGTTCCATCTTACTTCATACTCATGTAATGCTTACTTTGGTATCTTTCTAGCTTATTATAAATCAGACCTGCAATAATTTTTTTCCATACTTGTATATGGGGTCACACAACCGCCGGATTATTGAAGAATCAGGATTATTGAGACTAATAGAAAAAAAGACCAATTTTACTATGAGTGTACATGTAGTCAAAATGCTTGCATATTATACAAAGAAATACATTCAAATTATATAGAAACATATTATAGTTTTACATACTAGGAAAAATAATCATCAATTGTTTTTTCTTTCTTTGTTCTAAACATTTTATCAAAATGGTTTCTTGTATTCGCTTAGCACCAACAAAGCATAACCTAAGACGCCATTCTCTTCAGCCCATTTGGTGCACACATTAAGAGTGTTGAAAGCTGTTGAAGACAGTTCACCAAGTCGAAACCCAAAAAGTCTATCAGATTCGTCTTCCAGGGATCGAATTTGGTTGAAAATTTCTTTGTCAACAGTGAGCGAAAATTTTCCCCATTGTTCCTTGAAGCCAATTTGCCATATCACACAGAAAAAACCTACAAATACCTTGTTCATTGTTTCGTTTTGAAGATTTACTTTTGCACTATACGACCTCCCCATGTAATGCAACATGCACCGTGCATCCTGACGGCACACGGCATGCTAGATTCAGACATTTTTTAAATATTGACTGACGAATTTCTCTTCTTTTTTGTATATCAACCATATGCATATTTCATGTTGTACAGAAAATTGATTGCTCTTTTCAAATATCTTAAAACACAGGCATTGCATTTGAAAAACCAAAGGTGTATCGATTTCCAGTTAAGCCAAAAGTCTAAATATGCCGATAGATATAAAATTATATTTAACAAATTGTTCGTATCTCGTTAAATAAAAGAGATATTGAGGTGACCCCGAGCGTGACCCTATTATCTGCAACGTACTGTATATGTCGAAATCCTAGAAGAGCTCGAAGTTGTCTATTACTCTCTGAGGCGACGTGGAGCAATTTACAGACAAACGGAAAAGTGAGGACATAAGACTTCCAAAAATAAACAAAGTGGTTTATTGGTTACATTTTCATTTTCCATAATATCATGGTAAAACTGGTCATTTTTTCCATTGGTCTGTAGGAAATGCTTTTTACAGCAAAACTAAAAATGCTAGACACTATTGTTTTTGAAACATGACAAGTGACCGTATAGATTATGAAAGAGATGTAGAAACTTATTGAACACAATGTAACTTATTCCCTTAATATGGAAACGTTTTGAACGCATTTTGAATGGGGGTTTTCAGTATAGTTGAATTCCGCAGTTCTAATTTAATAAACGTGTACCTGAAACCATAAAACATTTTTTTGGACAGTAAAAGTTTATTTAAAAATAGAGGCTGATTAGCAAAAAAATAATGAACATGTGCGGTTTTAAGTGTTTATTCAAAATGATATGATTGTGGCGGGCTCTGTGACGTAATAAGCCCGACCAATCAGCTCCTAGAACCACCCAGATGACATAACGACTTGGCAATATTGCAGGAAATGTCATTTGTAACTTGCGTCACCTGTCACAGGCACTTGTCACTTGTCGTTCACTTTCGCGTTAGATGCAGTTAAACATGCCTCTTAAAACGTCAAATCCGACAAACGTCAGACCCTCGCACAAGGTTGCCGGCTCACTTCTACGTGATTGGTTGTAGGTTTGTGACGTATTTAGACTGAAGCGTTTCAAATTCGGACTAAAAACACAGCTTTTCAATAATTTATTTTGGGTTTATTTTACTTGCAAATAAAAATTGAGGACACACGGGTCTTTTTATTTGTATTGTACTTTGTAGATCAGAAATAAAAAATAAAGCCGAGATGCCCCCATTGCAACGTACGGTTTTTTAAGTCGCTTGTCAATACAGGCTTTGACAAATAAATATGTCGAAATAAATTGGTGGGGGGAGGGGCCATTTTTGCAAATAAGCTAACGGGACAAATGCTTCGTTTGGGAGCTGGAGATCGAACTTTTTTTGGTTCGCCCGTTTACAAAACGAAGATGAGCATACCCAAACACAAAACCCTTTACGTGCCCTGACTGCAGGGGAATAAATTAAAGAAGAATGCTAATTTTAGGAGTTTTCAAGTTGTAGTTCCTAGGAGATATATTTTTGAATCCTTGAGTTTATTCGAAAAGGTTTTTCTTTGGTCCCATCCAACTTCTTTTACATTCTTGTCATATCCTGTATTTTTGTGACGCATATACAGGGTGTTTCTAAGTCTTGTAAATACGGAAAGGGCTAATTCTTTGACTTATTTTATCACTAATCTAAACGCTTCGTTATTAAGGTATTTGACGGTAGGTAGTGAGCTATGGTTACAATTTTTACCTCAGATGCACCTCTTCCCAAATCGATCACATAACGTTACCACAGAAATGTGATTTGATACTCATCCATTTTAGTGCTCAAACACCATCCGGTTAATAGAAACGTACATATCTAGGCATCCGGAACTGGTAGTGATCGATCCCATTCCAAATGTTCGTCAATTGTTAGATAGGTATATGGCTTACAGTATTATCGCCGCAACGGACTTATACAAATACGACGTTTTTACACCTACCTTTTGCGAAATTGTGACAAATAGTAAAGAAGAGACTGAAGTACAGTTAAAGAATCACAACGTTAGGTTTCCATTTATTTGTAAACACGTCTTAGGGCACGGATCGAAACAAGCTCACGAAATGGTAATTGTATTTAATAAAGATAGTTTAGATGCATGTAAGTCTCCTTGTGTAGTACAAACGTTTATAAACCATAACGCAACTTTATACAAAATCTTTATAGTAGGGGAACAATATTACTATATTGAAAGGCCGTCGTTGAAAAATTTTTATCCGTGTAACGAGAAGCCGATATTTTTTTATAGTAGCGACGTGTCCAAAGCAGACTCTACAAGTTCCTTGTCCGTGCTAGACAAAGAAGATGAGGTCATAAGACGATCATCGCCCGACCCGAATATAATGGGTAAAATTGCGTCGACCATCAGGAAAGCGTTCAATATGGATTTGTTGGGGATTGACGTGGTGATCGAAAATTTCACCGGAAAGTATGCGATAATCGATGTAAATGCCTATCCCGGGTATGACGGATTCCCGAATTTTTTTTACGCATTGTTAGAGCTCATCAAGGAAAAAGAAGCCAAACGAGATTTAAAGATTAAGAGTGTAATTGATCGGAACTGAGCCGTACGCGTTAAGATGATACTACCAAGAGTATGTTCCGTCTTTTGTTACATATTTGTATGTTACCAATGCAGAAGTATTAAATAAGTTATTTATTTTAAATTTTTGTTAGATGTATAATAGCAATAATGCACCTAATTAAGTTTTCATAAATTGTTTCATTTGTTGTTAATGTTTTAAGTGAAAACATATTTTATATACTTTATATACTGTAGATGTCATATGTACAAATAATTACATGGCATATGTTAATATACGAATTGTTTTCATTCCGGTATATCACAGTTAACAAAGGTTGGCTTCACACAGTTCACCAGTTGTACCATAAGGGTTCTTCACCAAATAAATTCTTACTGTTGTATATACTAGAATGGTATGCAAGGATTTTATTTGGCAAATTAATTTATGAGGAGGTGGATATTTTCGCACTGAGCGTCAAAAGTAAGTAACATCACTTGGATAACTCAACTGTAGCACAGGTGACTGATATGCCAGAGTGACTTCGGCTTCATTTCTATATGATACAGAGAGCACTAATTTAGAATAGTTGAAACAAGTCGGCAAGAGACATTACTTTTGACCATGATTGCCCATCATATGTCATGGTTCGCGCGTATAGTTGAACTGTATTAGTCATCTCAAGTATACGCGGTCCGATTTGTAACTGCCTACATATTTCAAGAGATGTATGAGGTTTTGGCTATTAAATAACACGATTGACGCTCCAGAGTTTCAAATGGCGATTTCTTCAGAGCAGATTAATTGTTGGTAATGGGACAGTGGGCCAAATCGAGAAAGTAGGTACAGGATGCAGTACAGTAATCAGAATTCTAGCCTCTTCATCGAATCTCTTTCGCGTAGGATCGATGTGACGCCTGAAATGTCTCTGAAAACGACCCTGAACGAAGAGCAGTCCTCAAATGCAACCACTAACGCTTGGCCATGAAAAGTTCACGTCTCGTCGCAATCATTTTTAAGCGCGTTTTACATGCTTAAAAGTTTTTGTGAAAGTTGAAATTCTCTTAGCCGAGGGCATGCGCAATAGGTGCTTTTCTTGAAAGTGAAATACCTTCCAACTTTTCGGTTCGAACGCGAAATATTTCACTTTCATCCGAAATTTTAGAGCTGGCAACTCTAAAATTGGAAATTTCAAATGAATATGTTATGTTTCGTATCATTTGATGTTTATTTTTTTGACCACTGAATTATAATTAAACTGGAATGCGCACTGCCGATATCTGCCATAGAAACGTAGCGCGCCGAGAGAAATAGTGCAAGGGGGATTCTGTCACTCATTGGGAAACTGATCAAAACATATCAAATAGACATGCGCGAGAGTAGGACAGAGATCCCATTTGTGGCCCTCTCTCTCGGATCGCGCTGGGCGACGGAGCGCGCGTTCCAGTATAATTATAGTTCAATGGTATTGACGGGCGTAAAGGCAGATTATTAAGCGGAAATTACAATTGCACAGAAATAAAAAAGAAACAAGTCGATCTAACCCATATTTTTTAGGTTGGTATTAACAAAAATTTTCACTTGAAAGCTTTTCGGGTTCTTTTTTGGTCATCACTTAGAAGCTTTGTGTGCACACTTTCTTCGTATGTAAATTTTCAGTTGAAATTTGTTGAACTCTATAATCAAAGGTTGAACTGTACATCAATGGACGCGTTCACCAGAGGAAGCGCTACCTAAAGGTTCGGCATACTCTAGCAATTAGGTTTCTCGCGCGAGTTGCTTTCTGATAGCACTGTCGAGGACTACATATACAGTGATATTCATGTAAAAGTAGACATAGGGATTCCTATGTCTACTTTTACATGATAAAAAGTCTAGTGAAAGACGCCTAATTTTATGCAATCAAAATAACTTCTTGAAACAAATAAAGATCTGGCTCATATTAATTATTAATTTGAATATTGTTGCTTGCTCTCTTAAGCTCCTTTAACTGTAAATAAGTTATCGGCACTATACCAATTGGAAATATCAACTTTTTCTTTAGTTGAATACGTCGCACACGATTAGTAACGGCGAAATGGAAATGGAAAACGTTGTGGAATCTCGTTATTGATTCTCTTGAATAACTCCTTCCCTTTCCCGACTCGGACATTTTTGCGTACGCGGATGATATTGCTATCGACGTTATCGTAGTACTTATCTGCTCATGAAAGGAATGATCTGGAGGCCACAGCATCCGGTCTGGTGTGCCTACAGCTACCGTCGAGTCTTCTGTGTCAACGACTCATAAACTGGGCGGATACCAGTTCAAAAAGAAGGATATGCGAATGTATCCTTCATAGATGAAGTGGCATCTATCAGCATACTGTAAAATTTATCGAAAGGGAGACTTTAGGGAGAAATGGAAAGAAAATGAATTTTAATAAATAAAAGACAGAGGGCAATACAGCTATTGAAATGAAAGTAATGAAAGTTGGCACTTTTTCTAGACTATAAATAGCACAGATTAACATAGCAACGGTATTCGTGTAAAGATAGCCACACAAATAGGCAACAAATAAGTTTACATTTTTTAAGCGAGGGCAGCAACTACAGTTATTACATAATTTTAGATTTACATTCTTGGAGGTAAATTCTTGATATTGCTCCCCATTGAACAATTTCCATGTTAACGTACACCATCGTTATGCCTACAGTATTGAATTTTTTTGAGCTGCGTATGAGCACCTAATTACTGAAAAGTAAATGGAACTTTAATTGTGGTTTTATTGTAATAACTCGATGCTTCTAATAAAAATGTTGCCTACGAGTAATAAAATAATGTTAACGTGGAGAAAACGTACATATCTACACCCTTTAATATAGATGTATTTTATATATAATCAAAGTCTACATGCTATTTTCGCACACTTATTATTATACCTACAATATACAGGTTGTCTACATTAAAATGTGCACCCTATAAATTGTAATTTAAATCTTGTTTACATAGTATCTGCAATCGATAGAGTAGAATAAATATGTAGGAAACCATACTAGCAGCGCTAAATTGTGCGTGATATAAACGAATATAGGTCAATACAATGGTGATATACCCATTATACCAACGATCCTCTACAGTCTATCAATCACAATGCAGCGCTGTTGGTATAACCACAGACAAAATACTACAGACGGCTCATGAGATATACGAAATGTTTGCGCTGAAAAAACATCCGTCTGCTAGCGCTACTGCCGTAAAATGTTCAAATGCTTAGCTCGTAAATGCACTTTTTTCATCGCAAACGAATGGTTGAAAACTGTACTGTAATAGGTACTGTTAAATAAATATGAGAAGGCATGCGTAATTTAAATGATTTAAAGAAAAGAATATCATATTTCCTTAAGTCAAAACACTTTATCTGTAGGTCAGGATATCCCATCTCAGGTGCATATTATAATTACGAAAGTTAGGACATTTGCAAATAAATTTTCTCGTATTTTTTTACGGATACGGATTACAACGGAATGACACCATTTATTCAAAAATACATTTCATGAGGTGGGCCATTTTCGCTGAGACGGAGCTCCTCCGTTTTTGCATTGTGTAACCATTTATTGTGGGATGCCGAATATGAACTTTGAATTAAGGTTTAAAGGGAATCGCATTACTTAACCGTTAAGGGATATAAAAAAAGACACGGTGTTTAAGCTTAACACTTGAACAGTTCATATACACCTTTTCTTTTCATAAAGACGTATTTTTGTGTTTTAAATAGTCTATTATTACAATTATTGTTTTAAATACCTAGATACTTGTTAATTATAAAAATGGCCAAAGCAGGAAATGTTTGTCAATACTTTCAATGTGGTGTTTCAAAACGAGTGGAACCCAATCTAAAAATGTATGGATTTCCTTTTATGGATGAAAACCTGTGCCGCGTTTGGGTTAATAATGCTGGTTAGTCCTTCTTGTTTCATTGATAGTATGAACTATTACCAATTAATGCTGCTATGAAGTTGGCCGTGAAAAATTGGTGGTTCGAAAATGAACGAATGGTATCTAATCCTTAATTCAAACGAATTGTTGTGTCGCAACTACTCTACGTGGTGAGATATACGAGAATCGAATGTTATATTATTGAAAATACTATACGCAGTTTAAGTAAACGGCATCAAAAATTCGCTATGTGTAATGTGTGTATCAATTTCGTTTGCAGAACCGAAGATAACTTTGTCATTTGTTAATGTTTGTTGAGGTTGAGGTTTTCAGGTTTCACTTTCTCATTACTGGGTGACTTATTTCCTACTTTTAAATGTTGCACATATAAAAGCTTGCCGACATTGTTCTTAAATGTCATCGATTTCGATGCAAACAATCTAATTTTGAGCTTTGCTGGTTTGTGATACCTACATTCAATTTAGAAGAAGGGTATATTAATCGCCGGAGGTTTTCCGAAATCATTTCGGTATACTATGATGAAGTTGACCGGCTGTGATTTTCTGGAACCGGATTTTCCAGAAACGGGAGAGATACCTTGAATCATCCAAACAAGTTTTGCTACACTGAATTCTGAAGAAGGTAATTCATTTATCTTTGGGGATTTATGCAGAATTTGTTTGGGGCTCTCAGCTCTCATCAAGTTGAACAGGTAGGTGCCTTATACATTTTCGAATCGCCCATTTTTGGTGACCAACTTCACGGCGGCCCAATTATATACAATCATCAAATAAATCTTCCCTATAGATAAAAAAGCACGTCTTTACAGGGGCTACACATCTGATTCCACTGTCACCGAATTCATAAAAAAAAAAATCTGTGAAAAACATTTCCGATTGGAAGACTTCACAAAATCTTCCAAAGAAAGGCTCATTAAAGGCGCAGTGGTAGAATCCAAATTAACCGGATAAAATCGTAAATTGGTAAATACATCAATATGAAAGGAACGGTATTTTGTGAATTTTATCACCTTTTTGTGAAATTGATATCGGTTGTTGTAAAATAAGTATTTTCAAATGACTTTGGACACATTTAATTATATTGAGAATCAAATAAACAAATATAGAAAACGAGCTCCTGGGTATGGCTGTAGCATGTGCAAAACCAAATTTTAATCCTGATGTTAGTTTTGCTTTTATTTAAACTGTATATGTATGACATTTCATTTAATTGCTTCCATAAATATGACAGTTGGCACTGCGCATGCGCAAAACCAAATTTTGAAACTGGCGTTAAATTTGCTTTTATTCCAAGTGCCCATGTATCAAATTTCATTTAAATACCTTCATAAATAAAAAGTTTGCAATTCAGTTTATA